CGCATACCAGTTTGGACAAGTTCGAGTATATTAAGAACGACGTCATGTTCTTGGAGTTTATTGTAAATCAATGATATTAACCAATGACCAATGGTCTTGATGCCTTTTCGATCGAGGCGATACGGATTGATTACATAAGTTATACACAGTATGTAAAAAACAACCCGGTGATCCTTTTAAAAACTTATAGATGTACATATAGGTATTGCATTTGACAGTAAATTTTTTGGTAATTAAAAGAATTTAATGTTCACAATAGGTAACTTACTAAATTCGACCTAAATAATACTAAACCCTTTGAAAAAATGTTATTCACTTCTGAACTAACTGATACGCGTATCGGTATAGCGGGGTCTTTGGCAATACTCTTTCCCGGCTATTGCAGAGGTAGTAAACCCACATACAATTTACAAATTTATAAAAATATTGTTTTTGTAAATTTACAAAAACCATATTTTTATGGTCGAGTTTTATGAAGTAGTTTTTTTGAATACTTATTATGATAACGGAAACCACAGGGTTTTTGTTAGATAATACAAATAAAGAATGTGGATTGGGGTTGCCATCTGTTTCGGACTTAGTACAATGACCAAAAATAAATAAAACCTAAGTATCTGGATGGGTTTAAATGGCTATTAAATATGGAATTTTGTGCTCTCTTGTTCATTTTTATCACGTTTTTATTAACTAGCTTTCGAAAGTTGACTACGGACATTCCTAAACAATTTTTAATAACACATTTATATAAAAAGCATTTAAATGGAAATATTTTCATAGAAAAAATTTACCTTAGTTTTTTTTTTACTTAAGCGCAAGACTTCTATGTATAATACTAAGTAGTCGAGCTCTGCGGCTTTAATACATTGCGCACTTAGTTACAGTCAATTCTCTGTAAAGCCTTCAGTCGACTGTGAGCGGCCGAGAAGACTAGTTCCTTGTGTAAACTGCATGGTTGTTTTTGACATACTAATAAGACGTAAATTTATTTCGTACTTGCCTAATTAACAAAAACCGTCGTCAATAAAAATACAACTGCCTGGCATATTTACCGTGCCAGCTATCTATCAGCCTACCCCCGCGCCCGTGCGACCTGTGGAACAAGAATTTTTGTTTCGAATTGCCTGTCTAATAGTACACATAGTCTTTGATTATATGACAATCTATGACAGTAGCTCGAAATAATCGTAATATATTCAAGAAAATTGTTTTGTATTGTGTTGAATTATGGAAATAAAACAATAATTATCTTGTATACATATCTTTATTTGACATAATACGTTTAGACACAGATTACAAATTCATTACATGAGCTGACATCGTTTTATAAAATCCCCTGTAATAGGTATAAATAATTTATCATTGATGTTCATACTACAAAGGGCGTGACTATCGTCATACAAGAAGACTGTACTGGTTCGTATGGCTATATATATAACATTTAATCATATCTTTTATTATACACATAGTAGTTAAGCATTTATTGTCTTACATTAAATGATTCAGTAGCATCTAGATATGAATCAGCGCCATCTAGTTTTAATTTATAGATTTTGAGCTTTCTCTTGTTCAAGTTATTTGTACGGGGATTATCATTCCTAACATTAGATCGCCCATTTTGTATATAAAGTTTATAGCTGTGACAATGACACAATAAATGAACGAAATATGATCGTCACTAGTTCCGAAAGTCCTTTAAAAGCCATTAATACAAATCGAATAATATTATAATATGTTATACTAAAAGATCTACCAGTTAATTTAATTTATTTAAAAATAATAACACTCCCACCGTTAATATGTATCCTGGAGGAATTTTACACGACTATAATGGCACAAGTACAAACATCGATATAAAAATTATTTGTAGGTGATAGAAACATTTCGATGGATTCAAATCCGCAGTCGATAGTATCTTGACTTCTAAGCAGCAAGATATTTAATACAGAAAAACGCATCACTTTTACGTATCAAAATCCGCTACAGTATTTCAGAATAAATATTGTGCAATCGTATTGAACATTACAAAAACGATTGACGAAAGTAATTTTGTTGTAAAGACTAGCTCGTAATTTTAACTATATTACAAACCAAAGAAACTAGATTGTACAACCAGTGCGTGATGACAGAAGCAGTAGACTTTTTATATTGACTTATTTAATATTGCACATAATTCAGTCATTATTCGAGCGTAATTATGTAACATGTAACAAAAACTCTATGCTTCCGTTAAGTGAATACACAGAATCAGTATTCAAACGTAGACAAATAACTTTACTTCAGAAAACTCGACCATAAAAAAAGTTAAATAAAAATTTTTATTCGCAAATTTGTATGTGTGTTTATTACCTATGCATTGGGCGGGGAGTAACAACGTTGTCAAAGACCTCGCTTTACTGAGGCGCGTGTTAGTCAGGGGTAATAAAACCATATAAAATTTGCAAATAAAAATGTATGGTCCAGTTTTCTGAAGTAAGGTTATTTCAATACATTTGAATACTTTATTCCGATAACACACTTGATGGAAACCGCAGGGTTTTAACATGTTAAATATCCCAATTATTTAGTCATAGACAATACTAATAAATCTTATTTTTGTTGTAAATATACTGATAGTATTAGGGGAGGATTTAACACTTGTACCGTGAGGGATTCGAACACGCAACACCGCAGACACTAAGCCGCTGCACTACCGAACCGTCTGTTATAGGTAAGTACTTTTTATTCAAAGTAGAAGTTCTTAGAAAACTTTCGTTTATAAATATCCTATTATAAAATATATGGCAATAGGTCAGTTTGAGGGTAGAATGAGATAACATTATGCTGTACCATTTGCTAACCATTTTTACATACACTTTTCACTATTTATTAAACCTCGACGAAAAAACGGGGTGTTATAAATTCGACCGCTATATGTGTCGGATTGATTTGGATGCGATTTTTTTTATTTAAAAGCAGGTTTTCTAGTGATGATTCTTAAACTTGTTTTATCAATATCGGTTCCGCCGTTTGAAGATAATCTGCCTTTTTTTTCAATTAAAGTTATTTCTTTGCTCTTAATTGATATACCCCAATAATAAGGCTTTAAATGATTCTTCTTAAATCAGAGATCAAGTTTGTTTCCAGGAGACGGATATTAAAATTTTACTTAATTTTAATTCTGGAACTCTTTGGCAATTTCTGAAACAAGTTTTAAAATTAAAGTTAAGGTGAAAATATCAAAAGGAGACAATCGTTTTTGGGCCCACTAGAAATTTTAACGTAACTTAATGGTATAACACATAAAAAAGATACCAATTTATTAAAGAATCAATACATGTGAAAATAGTTTCCAAGTTCAGTGTAATATGGTTTTCCAGAACTACTAAAAGAATTTTCCATCAATCTTAAAGTAATTATAAACTATGAATGAACCGTACACTATTTTAATTTATATTACCGGTGAAAGCTACTAGACAATCGCTTTGAGTTGTTGTTTTTAGGTTATTGTGATATTCATATTTAATTGTTAATTTCTTAGTATTCCCGATAGATGCGGTAAAACTAATATTACTATTGTATTTTTACTATTATTAATCAACATGCATTTCATTAAGTTACGCCACAATTTGTGGTGGGACCATTCTACATACAAAAATGAATTGTCTCCTTTATGATCTATTTAAAAAAAAACTTTTCAGTCGTAGGACTGCACATCACTTCTTAGCTCTACAAAGTTGTATTATTTGTGGGTTGGTAAGATATATTTTTATAGGAAGTATTTTTATTAGAAATTATTTTTATCAACTAAGTAAATTAATATACAAAAAGAATTCCATTTATTGCATGGGAAAGCATAATTATTATATAATATTTTGTACGAGGTTGAGCCACGCTGCAGCTATATTATGGTGGTAGCACGAATGGGTCTGCTCGACCGGGAAAGGACCACGCTCTCACAGAATACGAGCGTAAAGTAGCAGCTTAATACTGCTGTGTTTCGTATGGTGAGTGTAGAGTTCCGTAGACCCTTTTCTATTGGAAACAAGGCATTCCATCTTATTCCTCAGGGGCGACAACACATCTGCATTTTGATTTTCAATAGAGGATAAATGTAGAATGTCTATGGGCCACAGCATCCACTTACCATCAGGTGGACTTTGTGCTCGTTTGTCACCCTTATACTATAAAAAAATATCTGAAAGTGACGATTACGCGAGTTAAATCCTTTTTCCCCATTCGAAAAGTGCTCAACATGCCAAATAAAGTTTTCAATTCAAAAATATCAATGTACTGTATCAATGTGTGGAGGCGGTGTAAGAATTTCCACTAGCCCATATCACTCAGCGGGTGTCGTACGAGGCGACAGAGGGAAACAAACCAGGAGATGGGCAGCAGCATATTCTTACAGCTTCTCAAGGTGTAGCAACCATGGCAAATATTCCCCGTATAAGGCTATTTGTACGGGAGAGGCCTATCCTCAGCATTGGTTTTATGTAAGGATGTAAAGATAAGATGGTGATGAGTGACACTAGAGCCATGTTGCTATGTTTTTTATCATAATATCTTAAAACCGTTAAATAGTTATACCATCCAGTAAACACATTTAGGATATAAAAAATAAAATAAAAACTAACAAACAAGCACAATTTTCTTACGTGGCAGAGCCATACTGCAGCTATATTAATGGTTGTAGCACGAACTGATCGGCTCATCCTGGGAAGGACCACCCTCTCACAGAATACCAGCGTAAACTAACAGCTTAATGCTGCTGTGTTTCGCATAATAAGTGTAGAGATCCGAGACCCTTTTACTGGAAACGAGGCATTCCATCTCACTCCTCAGGGGTGACAACACATCTGCAGTTTGATTCTTAATCGAGTATAGATGTACATATGGGCTTCAGCATCCACTTACCATCATGTGGACTAAGTGGGAGTTTGTCAACCATATTCTATAAAAAAATTCGAGATTTAATTTTAAACGCTTACCTTTACATAAATAATGCAGGTTGAGATCTCTTCTTACAATAAAGACTTATACTCTGCGAGGTAATCTTCCTCCTCTAACAGGGACGTGTCCAAATAGTCATCTTCGTCAGTTCTGATGGCGGACGACAACCTGTTCAAGGCCATCTCGCGCTCCAGCTTCCTGCAGACACATTTTTACGTTTATAGCATGTTTTATATATTTATATTAAGGAATATTTGTTTGATATAAGTTGCATGGAGTTTTTAAGTGATAAAATTTCTGAAGTTAGACACAATTTCAGTCTCGTAACAGTTTTGGATGTTTTTTGTTCTTTTTATGTTTGTCACCTCTATTGAATATAATTGAAGTTTATTTATTAATTCTTGCTTATAATTACATCTTTATATGTGTTTGTGACTGAACTGACAGATTTTGGTGAAATTGTGTGCGTGTGTGTTTGTGTGTGTGTGTGTGTGTGTGTGTGTGTGTGTGTGTGCGTGCGTGCGTGCGTGCGTGCGTGCGTGCGTGCGTGCGTGCGTGTGTGTGTGTGATTAAGTTGTTTCGACAATGCTATATATTCGCAATTGCACCCGGTAGGTGGCGCTATGGTCGAGAACCAAAAATCACCCGTGCGAAGCCGGGGCGAATCGCTAGTATATTTATACAATTTTTATTATAATTCTAGTTTTAATTAAGTTTTGCATTTTCCTAACGTATTACTTTTTCTATTTATTCTTTCTGCTGCTCTCGATGTGACAGAATCATCAAGTCAAATCGATAAAGGAGCAATTCTGTCATCAACGTGAAACATATGTATTATTCTTGGTTTTGTACAGTTAAGAAAAGTTACAGGCTACATTCGTCTCACTTCTGTGCTCGGGCGTCTTCTGATCTATAAGAAGGATTTTGAGCAAGGAAGTGTCTCCATCGCTCACCGCGCCGTCCCAACAATGCCTTTTTTATAGGATAGAGTGACAAGCGAGCACACAGTCCACCTGCGTGCCCAGTGCGAGTTTATCTCGTGTTCAATCCCGAGAGCGTTAACTACTCTTGTGGTTGAGTTGTGTCCCGACTTGTGTGGAATAAAAAAAGCGCCAACTAGTGACAATAATCGGAAACACAATTCATGAGTGCGAGATGATTTCTTATATTTACGCGAACACTACACATGATTAAAACTACTTTTACGGATTTCATCGAGTTTATTTTTGCTTTTAATTACTTTTATTTTTAATTCCCGACGTTTCGGGCGCTTTCCAGCACCCATGGTCGCGGGGGACTGAGATGACTGACGTCCCGATGTCATTGTTAAACCCGGTCCCCCGTGACCATGGGTGCTGGAAAGCGCCCGAAACGTCGGGAATTAAAAATAAAAGTAATTAAAAGCAAAAATAAACGCGATAAAATCCGTAAAAGTAGTTTTAATCATGAGTGCGAGTTTAACAATTCGTAGATATCGACCATCGAACATTGACTCGCATTCAATAGTGCAGACTTTAACGCTGATTTTTCGTGATTGGTTGTTTCAAGAATTTTCCGAGTTCGAGCGACAATTCTGCTCGTTCGAGACGTAACTTTACGCCGTCGCTATCGAAAAAGTTTTTACGTAGATTTTTACAGTGCGATAGTAGTTAACTTCCCAGTGAGAAGTAATTGTAATGGGTCCGATTTTGCAAATTGGAAATTTTAACTTATCTCCACGTTTTAAGGTCTTTAGAGTCGAATAGTATGGAATAGATATATTTTATCAGGATGTCTGTGTGAATTTTCGCCTCGTGTATCTCGAGAACAAAGAGTGATATTGACATGGGACCAGTTTCATTTAACGCATTATGTAACTTAGACCTCATTAAATTTTGAGCAAAATCGGTCAAGTCGTTTTTTGTGCCGAATGAAAAATTGTATAAAATATTAAAACATAATGATATTTTTTTATTCTTTCCACTGGGAAGTTAGTCGTGTGGACCTTTCGGGACGCACCTAGACCGCTTTTTTATTTCGTTTTTTGTGAACGATGTATAGTTATGGCAGGACGTTTTTTCCTTTGTAGGACGTTTGCAGCCACTAAAGCATAAATAACTAATCATTATAGATTATAATAACTTAACTCCAGTGTTGAAGCAAGAGCTCGTGCATATTTTAGTCCGTTGTTACACGCCGATGACAGGCAATTTAAGGACAGATATCGCATTTTTCATTAAAGTTCAAGTTTTGTGTAAATAGTGTTTGATAAATCTAAGGTCTACCATCACTATTCAATAATTAAGTAAATTCCCCTTCAATTCTTCATAGAGATCATTCTATCGCTTGCATAAGACGATACTTTGCTGAGGCCTCGCATAAAAACGCATCAAAGTTCACTTAATACTAAATAACTTAAATTCCATTTAATTCTCAAAAAAAGTCAACATAAAAGTATATTACAACGAAAACATCTTAATGTTTTTTGATTTTAATTTAAAACTTTCAATTATTAACAATTAAATGGCTAATTCACAATCTCATTATACTAACATAAACTATCGAAACCTTAATCAAATTACGAAACACAAACAAATAGGTAATAAAGATCGCTATAATAACCACAAATTTGATAGACAGATGCTGATATTAAGACCACTATATAAAAATGTCAGTCTAAATTTGGTTAGTTTATCTCACGAAGAGAACATGCTACCAACATACTACAAATAAGAGAAGGAATAAACGCCATTCACGGTGAGCAAACGCAAATCGAAAGGCTAGCTTCGATTGTAACTTACACTAGCTCGTCTTCGCTTGTCGATACCGACGACGTTAACTCGGTTAACGCGATGGTGAAGTCATTAGATTAATTTTGTGGAACTCACACTAGGCACACTGATGGTAAGCGGTTGCTGTGGCACATAGACATCTACATTTATCCTCGATTACGAATCAAAATGCAGATGCGTTGTCACCCGTGAGGACTAAGATGGAATGCCTCGTTTCCAGTAAAAAGGGTCTCCGGTTCTCTACACTTACCATACGAAACACACCAGCGTTAAGCTACTATTTTACGCTGGTTTTCTGTGAGAGCGTGAACTTTCTCCGGTTGAGCTGACCCCATTTGTGCTACAACTATAGTTTTAACATGCGTCACATGTATACCTATCAAAATTGTACCATCTTAAATTTGTAATGTGACATGCAATAAACAATTTGAATTTGAATTTAATGTAACTGCAGCATGGCTCTACCACGTATAAACGTATACGCCTGTTGGCGGACTTCATACTTCTTCAAAATACTTTTCTTTATTCCCCAAACGTGCTGCTTTCCTCACGATGTTTTCCTTCACCGCCGAGTACGTGGTACATCAACACTTATATCATATTATATTATTGCAATTAACGTTTTCGTTGGTGCCGACGGAGATCGAATCCGAGTCCGTTTCATTTTTCTCTTTTTGTATAAATACTATGTACTATGAGCTCGTTCAAACACTCAAACAGTTTTTTCAAGCGAAGAAGGGCACACGTGCGTTGTCACCTTGAAGACTAAGATGAAAATATGTCTCAATGATAGCCGGTAATTAAGCTTTCCTTTTTTTCTATTTAAAATGTTATCTCCCCCCCCCACACACACTAAGATTTTAGGATTTTTTCCTATATCACGAAATACAGATGGAGCAGTTTACTAGGATTTTCTCCTGAATCGTGAGGGCAGTTTACATACACAAATTTCACACGAACAAACATCCAGATCCAGAAAAACTATTTGTTGGGATTCGAACTCGCGGCTCTCAGCGTCGCAACTCATTGCTGCACCACGGAGGCTTCGTGTGGTCGTCATGTGTTCCATATAGTCAACACATTTACTATAGCGATAATAGCAAATACTGTCACATATACACCGTTACCGCAGCCTATCAAAAGTCCACTGATGACCATAGCACTCACCCACAGATTTCCTTAAAAGGAATATTTGCCATAGTTGCCAAGCTTGGCAGGCGGGTTGCCAAACACAGTTTTTCATCCAGGTTTGTTCTGCGCCATCTCATGGTTTGTTTACCTCCGTTTTCTTTTTACGACACACACTTTGTATTATGGGGTAGGGAAAATTCTCACACTACCACTACATGGTAAATGAAAATATTCGGACGTACATTTTCTCTCGATCTTGCTTCTGTTTGTTATTAGACGCCTCGCCGGTGCTTGTTGAAGGGTTCCCTGCATCTTCGTCTAGAAAATAAGTAGTATTTTAAATTAAATTCATATATGTAATACAAATATAAAACATTATAAAATCGATATCAAAACATGATGAGTAGCAGCTTCTTCCTGATAGCAACTCAAAATAATACAAAAAAAAAACATTGTCTGCCAAATTGACAAGAGTGCTAAATGTGGCAAAATCCCCTCTATGAGGCAATCTATGTTTGGCAGTAATTTTTTGATAATAATTGCCTGAATGATAACAACTCAAAATAACAAAAAACTACGGTTGCCAATCCAATGCCAAGTGTGGCAACTATGGCTAATATCTCCCCTTTGAGATAATTTATGGGGAGGTCTGTGTTCCTCCCTTCCTAGGTTCCTATGTATCACAGTCATATAATTTACAGATTACATAACGTTTAGATGACGAGTTTTACTATAATGGATGACTTTTTTTTACCGTCTGCAAAATATAGCGTGTAACATGTGAACGGAGTAGAAGCATATGGCACTGATGTTTTACAAAAAGAAAAACAAAAATATTGAATTAAACGTAAAAAAAATATTATTGAACAAATTCTAGAAGCGACAGTAGCCTAATGGCAGGGCGCGGACCGCGAACTCGAAAGATCGTGGGTTCGAATCCGCCATTCGACTACTGGCGTGAACCACTCGTAACACAAGCAATTTAAGCTTACCACGAGTGGTTAAGGGGAATATTAGTAACGTTTATAGCATTGTTTATATTCTTTAAAAAAATTACCCTTTGCCCTTGGGCCTGTGACCCTACGAAGTGACAAGGTCAAATATGCCTACTAAATTTATTGTTTTATTGCCGTTCGTAAAGTAGGGTGGATATGATTTGAATTTGAATATATTTTAATTAATTAATTTATTTAATTTAAAATTTTTGTTTTCATTTTTTGTAAAATATCAGTGCCATAGGCTTCTTCTCCGTTAACATGTTACACCCTATTTTTTCCAGACGTTAAAAAAAGTCATACAATATATCTTACTTCTACCCTTTCTATCTACCATATTTATACTTGATCCATGCGGAATCGAACCCGAAATCTTTGCTACCGTGTCACCGTGTAGTGGTGGTGTAAGAATATCCACTTACCCATATTGTCCCGTGGGTGTCGTAAGAAGCGATTGAGGGAAAGAACCGGGAGCTGGGCAACAGCGTCATCCAAATAACAACTTGAAAATAAAAACTTTTGCCAACCCGCGTGCCAAGCGTGGCAACTATGACAAATATCTCCCTAATGAGACAGTTTAAGGGAGACCTATGTTAAGCAGTAGACTTTATAGTCTGTAACCTGTAACCTCGTAAAGCAGATGTTTCAAAATGGGACAGGTCTACGTACACTACTTCAAAAAAATCTGTAGAATTCGGGAAAATAAAGATAATTCATTTAAATGTATCCTATGGTGGTAAACGATTAATGTTTATCAACTATTATTATCGACTTTCAAAATGCAAATGCGTCTCACTGATTTAGTTACTCTGTGCTTATAGAAAAAGACAGTAAACCATAAAGCGACCATTGATCATAGAAAGAGAACTGTCAGTTGTCACAACAGTGTCAAAAATACGTGAAATAAACATGTCAAATGTCGAATAAAATTATTATTTACGGATTTTATCGCGTTTAATTACTTTATTTTTATTATTATCCTGACGTTTCGGGTGCTTTACAGCACCCATGGTCACGGGGGGGGACTGAGATGTTTGATGTCCCAATGTCATAGTTTTACGCAAATCGGACCAAAAATAAATATAAAAAAAAATCTGAAGGTAGCCGGACTATGACATTGGGACGTTAAACATCTCAGTCCCCCCCGGTGACCATGGGTGCTGTAAAGCACCCGAAACGTCGGGATAATAATAAAAATAAAGTAATTAAACGTGATAAAATCCGTAAATAATAGTTTTATTCAATGTGTAGTGTTCGCGTAAATTTAAGAAATCATTATGTCAAATGTCACTAATCAATAAAACGGCAGCTTACCGCTATGACGGGTTTTTGTTGTGTGTTGCAATTTCAAGCGTAAATTCATGGGTTTTACCAGCAAACAAAGCCATTATAAAATAATCGGACAGTTAAGAAACGCTTAAAATATATTTCCCTATTTTTGAGCATAGTGTACAAGGACCTGGCCCAGGCTCCATACATTTTGGAACATCTCATTTAATATATACATTACTCACTCGGTCGTCTGTTTCTTGACGTGTTTCCTTCATTAGAAAGCATTAGGGTAAAATGCGATTATGACCCTTGTTTATACATAGGAATAAAGCGTTTTGACACAACATGAATAAGTCGATTTTTCAAAATCAAAATTTTAAAGAAAAGTAAAATAACGCGTTGGTATGCATACAGCAAGGGAGTGAAATAATTCGCCAGTGTTTGTCTGTACATCCGTGAGTAAGATCCGAGAGCAAGAGTAGACAGTAGGAGAGCACACAGTCCACCTGATGGTATGTAGATGCTGTAACCAATTGACATCTTTATCTATCCTCGATTAAGACTCAAAATGCAGATTCGTTGTCACCCCTGAGTACTAACGATGGAATGCCTCGTTTCCAGTAAAGGCGTCTCCGGTTCTCTACACTCACCACACAAAACACAGCAGCATTACGCTGCTATCGCTGGTATTCTGTGAGAAAGTGGTCCTTCTCCGGTCGACCCGACCCATACGTGCTACAACCATAATATAGCTGCAGCATGACTTTACCACGTATTATGTTGAGCTAAACCGGTACGCCTTACCAAATTAACTACATCCTATAAAATCATTAGCTAGGATAGTAGTTAAGCATGTGCTTATAAGTGATAAGAAACTTAGCAGTTGATTGTTTCATGTTTTTTTATTAATTCTTTATATATATTAAAGAAAATAAATAGGGGGAGGGGGAGATATTTGTCACACTTGGCATGGAGATTGGCAACCACTTTTTTGTTACCGTTTAATACGTTAACTAGGCTAGTAAGTATATCTGTATTATACTGCATGATTTTCTTTTCACCGTCTGGAAAAAAACAGGGTGTAACATGTGAACGGAGTAGAAAGCCTATGGCACTAATATTATTTATAATTTTTTTTAATTTTAAATTAACATATCATGAAATTGATTTATCAATAAGTACTACTAATTGGGTGTGTAATATTTTAATTTAGATAGTTTTCATTGATTTATTAATTTAGTTTAAAAATTTTGTTATTTTTTTAGTACCGAAAGTTTATTTAAAATTAGTAGTACTTATTGACAGACAAATTTCATAATACGTTAGTGTAAAAAAAAAATATTGTGAAATATCAGCGCCATAAGCTTCTATTCCATTCACTTGTTACACCCTATTTTTTGAAGAAGGTAAAAAAGATCATACAGTGTATGTACATTAGCAATCTTTAACTCGCCATTATTAATAATTCTGTAACTCTTGTAACTCGTAAATAGGGGATTACACACCGACTTGTCAGTGAAGTCACGAGGCTTCAACTGAAAACTAGTGTTACCTTTGCAGCATTATGCTGATTTGGAGACCTATTTGATGTCACATTTTATTTTTTAAGTCAAATTTTTCCAGAACAGTTATGTTTTGAAACTTGATAAAAGGAAAAAGTGACATTAAAAAGAGACAAACATATGCATTCCACTAGATTCAAACACTGATAGGACAACGGATGGGACGCGTCCACAACGCGTACACGACATACACCCGCATCCCGGGGCGGTTCTCACCGCCCAGAACATCGAAAGACACGAGCCGTCACGAGACACGGGGCTCGCAATCTGTGTTAAGACGACCGTTAGATAACTTAATTACGTGCACTTTAAACTGACATAGGCGAACATCGTTACGCAATTAACGAAGCAGTTCGACACAGAAAATCTTTAATTTAAGTATGCGCCCTTTAAGGCCGCGAGCCATAACACCTATGAAGTTATAAGATAGGCTAACAGCAGCAACATCATTGAAACCAGAGATTACATATGCATCTATAGGATTTATTCTGCAATAGAATAAGATAGAATACAGTATTGTTTACTACTATCTCAATCTTCTTTTCTAAAGGTTTCACATCTACCACGTGGCAGTTCACACACATGTTTTATTTATTACTAATTAACGATAAGAATATTAGGTATATTGTTAATACATAAGCAATTTAAGACATTGGCCACGCTAGAGCGACTGCGGGAGGCGTGAAGATGCTGTGCCTTGTCGCTGAGTGTGGCACGTTGAGGCAGTTGCATGACATGTGCAATCTTCTGCTATTTTTGCGCGAGATTGAGACTGATGCATGCATATTTTTGCCCCTTGCGTTTGTATATATTTATCTTCGAAATTTGGGTATCAGGTAAATAGTTATTGCTTTCTTTCTTTCTTATTAGGAAGACGTTGCCCAAATCCTGTGTTATTTTCCCCTGTCGTCTTTTACGACATCCACGGGATGAAATGGGGTAGTGGGATACTCTTGCATCGTCCCTACTCTGCTAAAATACGGGGAGAAATGAAGATGTATATAGAGGCAGATACCAAAGTGCAGGTTTCCACCGCTCAAGTTTCCCGAGAGCAGCAGTTCGGCTGCAGCATCCACTTGGTTGTTGCAGAGTTTGAGCGCGGCCTTGGCCTCTTCAAGATTGTAGCCGAGTTCCTCCAACTGTAAAAGATTTAATTTTACTGGGCAATTCAAGACCGTGAGATGGTTTAAAATACCAAATAATGATGGTTAAAGTGGAGGTCCGTTGGCCGATCGTTTATCGTGTAGTGGCTGTGTAAGAATTTCCACTGCACCATATCATCCCGTGGGAGTCTTAAGAGGTGACAGAGAGAAACATATCAGGACATATGCAGCATTTTCCTAATAATAATAATCTAATAATAACTTCTTATCCGTTGCATATAAGAATGTCATAAGAGCTCGCCGAGCCTCCTTGCGGATCATCTCCTCAATTGAACAGAAAGAAGAAACAAAAGGTGCGGAGGACAAACTGACGATGATCCGCGCGTACCGCAGCCAGGTGGAGAAGGAGCTGCGCGACATATGCTCCGTATTCTGGGCGTGCTAGACAAGCACCTCATACCCAGCTCGCAGACCGGCGAATCCAAGGTCTTCTACGACAAAATGAAGGGCGACTACCACCGGTACCTGGCCGAGTTCGCGACGGGAAACGATCGCAAGGTGGCGGCGGAGAACTTGCTGGAGGCGTACAAGGCCACCTCAGACATCGCCATGACCGAGCTGCCACCCACACACCCCATCCGCCTTGGGCTAGCGCTCAACTTCTCGGTGTTCTACTACGAGATCCTGAACAGCCCGGACCGTGCGTACCGGCTGGCCAAGGCGGCGTTCGACGACGCCATCGCCGAGCTGGACACGCTGTCGGAGGAGAGCTACAAGGACTCCACTCTCATCATGCAGCTGCTTCGCGACAACCTTACGCTCTGGACCTCCGACATGCAGGGCGACGGAGAGTCAGGTGAAGCCGAACAAAAAGAACAAGCGCAGGATGTGGAGGATCAGGACGTCTCGTAATACCTTTAAACATTCTATTTAAATATAATAAAAAACAACTATAGTATCACGTAAGTCCCAGCCCTCACGACCGCCGGTCGCGAGCTGACCGCATCGTGTCAAATCTACCAGTTGTATACACTCAACTATGTACTTCTTTTTGATATATCGAACCTTTTGTTTTCTATATACGACGAATGTAATGGTTAAAAAAAAAAAAACTAGTTCTTTGTTATCGCATTTTAACTGTATGTTGTTCTTAAGAATGTATTTTCTTAACGGTCGTCTGATCTCTAACGTTAGTTTGTCGCCTCCCGCCTGCAGTTAGTCTCGACTCTCGACACTCTCTAAGGACTCTCGCTACTCTCTAAGGTGGGGATTGTAAATTTTCTAAGTATTTTATACCGCGTGTAAAATTAGTGTATTTAATTCCGTTGCGACCCGGGCACCACGCGGCAGATGTTGGAGTGGGAGAGAGACGGGGTTTAACTTGTGTACATACATACACTAGTGTCGCGTTATGTATCCTCGTAGATGTTCATAGTCTACTTTGTACCGTAAGGTCTCCGTGTCAATTTGGTACACAATGGTGCACAAATAGGGTTTGGTGGCGGACGTGCGGCTCGTAGCGAGACGTCGTGCTTCCGCTTCGTTCGTACTTCGTACGTATTATTACAACATTTGGAGTATTCACACTTGAATTGATTTAATTACTTACGAGTATTGTGATAGAGATTTGTATATTTTAATTTATTTTTTTAATTTCGCATATTCCTCGAGATCGCTGCAGCGCCAGGCTGCTGGCACACATTCCAGGAGCGTGCCTCAGTAAGATATTAGCGATATACTTATTTGAATGTAATATTGCATATATTTTTGTTAATTTATCCACAAAATAAAAATACTGATGCAAATTAGCCTTAGTTATCAATATTGATTTATGTCCTACCAACTACATGGAAATTTATTGTAAATGACAGTGTAAATCTAATAATAAAATTCAAGTCCAAAAAAACTGCGGTTGCCAACCCACTTGCCAACGTGGCAGCTACAGCAAATACGAGGCAATCCATGGGGGGGGGACATGTTCAGCTCTGACTTTAATAGGCTGTAACTACAACAGTAAACGATCACCAGAGGGAGTGATCAACTCCCTCAGGTCTAATATGCTACTGGAGCAAGCGGTGTTCATCATGACAGATCCCATTAGTGATTTTTTCTATCCCAACCCAAGCAGTAAGATATACTGTATCTGACTGCACGTTTAAATGAAACTAAGTTTTACGGATTTTATCGCGCACATTAACTTATTTCATATTCCCGACGTTTCGAGCACTTAACAATACCCATGGTCATGGGGGGGGGGACTGAGGTGTTCGACGTCTCAATGTCAATTAACCACGGCTACCTGTAGCTTAAAATTATTAATTTTTGTTCCGATCTACGTAGTACGAACTTATAGTGTCTTGTAGTTGTAGGGTTGGGATTTAATTTTATTAATTATGTGATCCCAAGCAGAAGGTTTTTTATTTAAATATCCTCGCGTATCATGCTTGGAAAGAATACGGTGTTATTTAGTAAGGATTTGTTATCAAATCTGATGTAGTGACAGGGGATTTTTTTTATAATATAATACTGAATAATAATGATACAACACATACAAACTAGTTTCATTTTAATGTGTAGGCTTCGCGTAAACATAAGAAATCATTATGTAAAAGCTTTTATTTTTATTAGACCAGGGGTTGCGAACCTACATGCCATACATACCAACATGCCATTTTTCTAATGAAATGTTTAATTAGGTAATTGACGTGCCGTAAAATAATTTTGACTTCGTGATTATTGGAAAAATAATAGTACTAAATACTATCGATTCAAAACTCTTTATTTATTAAAAAATAAATAGTTTTGAATTCAGACATTGAAACATTTATTCATGTATTTATGTTTCAGTTATACGCGTAATTCAAATTAAAGTAACATTACTGTGACTTCAGTTGTAGCAGATTAGAAGACAAATAACTTATATTGGGGTTGAAAAATCATAAATATAACACAAATAAACTTTTAAATACGATTGTGTTAACGAAATTGACTATTATGCTATGCGTCAACGAACTATGTATTCTTTGGGGGAGGCGTGGACTTGTATAAATTGCCCTATGAAGGAATTCCTGACTCTTTGTAGTCGAGCACGTCAGTTATACCAATAAGTAACTTGTGCTAGTTCCTAGTATTTACAAAAGGCACAACACTATTTAAAAAAATATTTTGCTTTGTTTACATACATAAAATTATCAAAAATATACTGAGACCAAAGTTAATATATTTATTTCTTTCGATTTTTCTTTAAAGATATTGGAGTTACCTCCGCCACCAATGCCTTGTCGATCTCGACCGGAGAGCCTTCCGAACTGGCCGTGCTCGCTTCCTCTGACAAGTCACCAAACTGTAAACCAAAAAGTATAATCTATAAATACTCGTATGTTCAAAAATCAGGTTCAGGTAGGTAAATATGGTGAACATATACTATGTATGTATTATTCGAGTCAAACGCTTTAACCAATTAAATAAAAGCATTTTGACCGCGTTAATGGTTGTATGAACTAAATCCCTTTGCCTTATATTCGCGGGAAAATATTACACTAAAAAAAGAAATGCAAACAAACACTTCGAATTTCGTAGTTTCGGCTTTCGACAGGAATTTACTGCCGGCGGTTTGCTTCTCTTATTTTATCGTTTAAATAATTTTGATACGTAAAAGTGGTGCGGTTTTGTGTATTAAGTGTCTGAGAATGTGAAATTTAGTAGTAATAAATAAATAAATTTCTGGTAGTAATAATATTTTGAGTACCTACTCACTAATACCAAACTGTTTACGAAGTCTGGACATCAGCCTACATTTTAATTATCAATATTTTTTAACGTCAGTTTTGTAATATAAGCAGGTACGTAGTCAACTATTTACATATATACATATAATATATATATATATATATATATATATATATATATATATATATATACATTTAAAACGCCAACTCACAGATTCTAAAAAAAAAAAACAAATTTCGTTGGCAAAATAGCCATAATAACAGAAAAAGAATAGTTTCAAATAAAACCAATAGAAATTCAAACTCATTTTACTGTTTTGTATTACCTTACCTCCGGACTTGATGGTATGACCTGAAGATGTACTTGTGACCGTTATTGGAATTCGTCGTCGAGTACTACTAGGTGTGCCGAGTTTGGGCTCGTTGAGTTAAGTATTGTGAGTCCTTACCTCCGGCCTCGATGGAGTGACCTGAAGGTGTATTTTGATAATCGCTATTGGAACTCGTCGCCGAGCAGAACTAGGTGTGCCGAGTTTGGGTTGCTTTTGTTAGTTATAATGAGTCTTTACCTCCGGACTTGACTGAGTGACATGAAGGTGTACTTCAGTAATCGCTATTGGAACTCGTAGCCGAGTAGAACTAGATGTGCTGAGTTAAGACTCGTTTTGTTAGTTATGATGAGACCATACCTCCGGACTTGATAGTGTGATCTAAAGCTGTACTTCGGTAATCGCTGTTGGAACTCGTCGCCGTTCAGGCCAGGTCGACGAGTTCCAATAGCGGTTACAGTACACCTTCAGGTCACACTATCAAGTCCTGAGGTATGGACTTATCATAACTAACAAAACGACTCCAAACTCGGCACACCTAGTTCTACTCGGCGACGAGTTCCAATAGCGATTACCAAAGTACATCTTCAGGTCACTCCATCAAGTCTGGAAGTAAGGACTCATCATAACTAACATAACGGGCCCAAAAGCTCGGCACACTTAGTTCCTCGGCGGTTCCAATAGTGATTAACCAAAGTACACCTCCAGGTCACTGATCAAGTCCGGACGCTCATCATAACTAACAAAACGATTCCAAACTCAGCACACCCAATTCTACTCCGCGACGATTACCAATATTGATTATCAAAGTACATCTCCAGGTCACTTCATCAAGTCTGGAGGTAAGGACTCATCGTACCTAACAAAACGAGCCGAAACTCGGCACACCTAGTAGTACTCGGCGACGAGTTCCAATAGCGATTACCAAAGTGCACCTTCAGGTCACTCCGTCAAGTCCGGAGGTAAGGACTCATCATACCTAACAAAACGAGCCCAAGCTCGACACACCTAGTTCTACTAGTTCAGGTGTTCCAGTATTAGTTACCGAAGTACACCTTCAGGTCACTTAATCAAGTCCGGAGGTAAGATCTTATCATAACTGACAAAACCAACCCAAAGTCCACAGTCCATCTCACTGCCAGTAGAGGGCTTCCAGTGCCAAGCAGTCTTTAGAGTAGGTATTCGTATTTCGTATCTAAGTCTAATTACTCTATGTATATTTTTGAGGTATAAGAAATCAAAAACAAATTCAATCTTTCAAATTATCAAAATAATTTTATTTGACTACGATTCCCGCAGTCAACCGTGCGTACCACTTGTGTGCGTGACTCATGTCAATGTAATAGTTCGATTCTATACCTATTAATTTTGTAAACACGTCCTTAAAAAATCTTAACGTAAATTATACTGTGGCAAAAAAGAGCGACACGTCTGTATAGCACCAGGCATATGTAAAGTTGTTCAAAACGACTATAAATCAATAGTACGATACAGACTATAAACTAGAAATTTCTAGCGCGCTATTAAATACGCTATGTTATAGCGCGCTATTTATAAGAAAGTGTGTAGGAGGCCGGCAAGCGCGTTAAGTTTAGCAGCACGCTACTCGTATATCTCGGAGCACGCTACATTACATGTCGTTCATTGGATAGACCGCGTGCTATATAAGATCATTGTTTTGTAATAAGTCGCATTTTAGATTAAAATAAAATAAAGTGATAAAGAAAAATTAAAGAATGCTCTTTCATACTTTTCAGGCTTACGACTTTTTATAATCCTAAAAATATTTTTAAGGACTGTAGGTACTTTTTAAAACAAAATAAAATTAATCATTTTTTTATTATAATTGATGTAAACGTTATTTTAACCTTAATATAAATTATAAATCAAAGGTGTATTTAAAAGTTTATTGATTGTATATACAAAAATCAACTATTTACAAACACTATTAAATACACTTTTGTATCTATATTTTATTTACATTTAAAAACATTAGTTAGGCTTCTTTTGTAGCAGACAACTGTGTCCTTCGATCACTTATAAATATACAGTATACATAAATAACGTCTAACACTAAATTAGTTCGCGCGCGATGAATAGCGTGCTGCTAGATTAAATTTGCATCACACGTCTGCTCCCAACAGCGCTTCTGCTAGACTAATTGCCGCTTGATATGAATAGCGTCAAAGCGTCATAGCGTCATAGCGCCATGGCGACTACTTACATAGCACGCGATATGCGTTATGAAGAGATAGCGCGTTATAATATGGCGCTATGCGCTATATTAACCACCATTAGGCATAGGCCGACAGTGTTTCTGCACAGGCGTTTACGCAAACATCCGTACGTATTATTCCAAAAATAAGAATATGCGATTTAAAAAATATCTATTAGTTGGACTAAAAAATTAAAACACTATAACCTTAGTATGTTGAATGTATAAAAATCTGACAAAAAATCAGAATAAATCAGCATGTATACTAGTATGGCTTTTACTTGGTAAAAGTAAATTTTAGAGTATATTTGTGATTTTTTCTGTCGTATTAAATTAATAGTATGATGTTGTCAACACAGTATCTAACTAGCATATATTCAGAAAAATATCATATATTTTTCTGGGTTTGTTTACTACAATGGATCATATTCTTTGAGGCATTATAAAACTTGGGTTTAGCTGCATGCTTCCTATTAAATACTTTACTCAAATTATTTAACTTAATATTTGATTAATAATGGTAGTAACTTCTCAATTGCGAGCACCAAATACCCACCACATCGGGCTGATCCTGCAGCAACCTGACGGCCTCTGCGACGTCGTTGTTGGAGCGACGCATCGCCAATATAGCACGGTTGCGCGCAAAGCCCATCTCCACTAACGCTTTTACGGAATCTGCGATTACTGGCGATCCGTTGTCGCAGACACCAAGCAGACGCTGCTGTCTGAAGATGAAAAAAAGAGCTATTGTAGCTATAAATCAGCGTTTCATAACCTTTTTCAGCCACTGACCCCTTGAAAATCAAGTGCTAAGGGGGTCCTTGATTTTTTTATAGGATAGGATGACAAACGAGCACACAGTCCACCTGAAAGTAAGTAGTTGCTGTGGCCCATAGACATCTACATCTATCCTCGATTACGAATCAAAATGCAGATGCGTTGTCATCCGTGAGGATTAAGGTGGAATGCCTCGTTCCCAGTAAAAAGGGTCTCCGGTTCTCTACACTCACCATACGAAAAACAGCAGCATTACGCTACTGTTTGACGCTGGTATTATGTGAGAGCGTGGTCCCGCCCCGGTCGAGCCGACCCATTCTGCTACAACTATACTACTAATATAACTGCAGCATGGCTCTACCACGTAAATTAATTTCGGATCATTTTAGTAATGCAAATACAAAAAAAAATATTTTTATATAATTCTTGTATAGTAGAATAAGGGTGACAAACGAGCACACAGTCAGAAATAAAATTCTTGCATCGTACGCATAATGTCACTTTATTTATTGAAAGCAACAGTACCAAGAAACGCTTGAAGAAATTGACTAGTAGGAAGAACTAACCCACAAGACTTTTGCATTTTATTAAATTTACTTATCTGAATCGCAACATGTAAGTTAGGTACTGTACTGTAGGTAATTAAATAATAAATAATGGTCGTATTGACGATATCGATACATAGCGTGAGAACTCACACACTCGGCGAGAGAAAAAACGAAACAGCATGAATGACAGCTGTATCTCGCCAATACAATAGGCGGAAAGTTTAAAACTTTGATGTTGACTATTTAAATGTAGTGCGACATTAAGAAATAATGCGACAGTAGCCTAATGGCACGGTGCGGACCGCGAACTAAAAAAGGTCATGGGTTCGAATCCACCATTCGACTACTGGCGTGAACCACTCGTAACACAAGCAATTATAAGCTTACCACGAGTGGTTAAGGGGAATATTAGTAATGTTTATAGCATTGTTAATATTCTTTTTATAAAAAAAATGTAGTAACAGCCACAGTAACAGCTTAAAGATGTATTTATTTTTGCTGTATACCGAAATTGGGATGGACCGATTTTAACGGGAATTTCACTGGCAGATATTTGATATTATAAGCAGGAAATTAGGCTGCTTTTATTTAAGAAAAATAATTAGGGTAAAAATTAAGACCCACGAAATCCAATCGTAACGAATTCCATGCGGACGAAGTCGCGGGGAACAGCTAATAATTAATAAAAGTAAATACCAAGCCAAGCATAGAACTGCAAGACTTCAAAGATACTATAAGTTCATGCTGCGTAAATCGGAACAATAATTAACAATTTTAAATGGAAGGTAGCCGTGGTACTTCATCCCCTCCCCCCTCCGTGACCATGGAAGTGGTAAAAAATTCGAGACGTCGGGAATATAAAATAAGTTAATATACGATATAAAATCCGTAAAAAACTGTTTTATTTAAAAGAAATAAAGTTTATATTTAAAAAAAAAACCTAAAATTGATAAAATAAAGGTCTTTGACGATCGTATTGATCCAAGTTGAAGCCGGGGTGGGTTGCTAGTACATATTTTTAATATATATATCTAAGTAAGATGTTTCGCACCTGCCAATAATAGGGCATTTCAAAATAGTGTTTTAAACGAACAGGGCCATAAAAATACTTTTAATTTATCATTTTAAAATTTGCACCATCAATGTATTTATACTTGATAGATTAATACCTTCTGCTTTTACGAAATCGTCTTTCGTGATTCCCTTTCAATAAAATTCGAAATAAAACTCAACAATCGTAATGATAAAAATATAAATTTCGAAATAACAGACAGTACATTACTAACGTAACGTTACGACAGATTCTAATATGGCGGATAGCGTTTTGGAGATTGAAGCAAAGATAAAAAAATATTCCTAAAACTGAATTTTAAAATTTATAATGCAGTTTTATGAATAGAAATCAATATTTCTCAATTACTTTTTACAAAATCTATCATAAATATTTTTTTTATTAAGCCTTTATTGATTTTAAACATTTTGTTTTACATAGTATATGATTGTTTTAACTTAATTATAATCTAGCGTATCGGTTTTCCCAGTTTAGTGATCAGCATGTCCTGTGACACATAGGCCTCTTCCAGCTCTTTCCACTCTTCTCTGTTGTTGGCTTTTCTAGTCCAGATCGTCCCTCCAATAATCTTGATATCGTCTGTCCATCTTTTTGCTTGTCTACATTTTTTATTTTGCCATCACGTGGTTGCCATTCTGTTATGATTTGCGTCCATTTTATCCTGCTTTCTCTTCCCATATGTCCTGTCCATCGCCATTTTAACTGTCTAATTTTCTTAATTATGTCTTCCACCTTTGTTGTAGATCTAACATCTTCTGCTCTTTTGCGGTCTTTTAGCGTCACGCCAAACATACTTCTTTCAATTCCCCTTTGACGTGTTCTCAGTTTTCGCCCAGGTTTGGAATCCATGTGTAAGACGTGGTAAGATACAGGAGTTACACACTTTTTTCATGGGTTTTATAGGAAAGTATTTACTTTTGAGTATTTATTTAAGGGACCAGTACCTTTTCCAAGCACAAGCTACTCTTCTGTCTATTTCCATGTCTATATGATCACTAAATGATATTAATTGCCCTAAGTGTGTGTATTTTGTAACATATTCAATATCTTCATAATCTACTTTTATGTCAATTTCTTCCCTGTTTGTCATTACTTTTGTTTTCGATTTATTCATAGTAAGACCAACTACTCGGCTTGCATTCGTCAACTGTTGTAGCACATGTTGAAGTGTATTAGCGTTGTCACTTATGAGTACGATATCATCCGCGTATCATCCGTGTAAATATTTTTTTTACATGGTGTAAAACCCTATTATTTTTGGTACCTAGAATAGGCTGACGTGCAGAGAATGCTGCATAGAATTAAGCCCTTATATATACGCATAGTTTTAAGGTGTTCACACGCGGTAGAAGTGAAACCGTCAGAAAATTAAACTTTTAAAGAATGATTGATTAAAACTACTTTTACGGATTTTATCGCGTTTTATTTATAAATAAATATATATATAATTTACAAATATAAAAAAAACGCGATAAAATCCGTAAAAGTAGTTTTAATCAATGTATAGTGTTCGCGTAAATATAAGAAAACATTATTTTAAAGAATGAGATGAAAAGAGATATTTCTAATCAACAAGGAATCATGTCCAGTTTTGACCTGAAAATTTCTTAACGTGTTTAGTGATGTAAAGCATAATTGAATTTTCAAATAAAGCCTAGAAAAAAATAATGTTACTATGTTTATCATTCTCAATAGACTATAGAGACGAAACGTGATTTACAATGGCTCAAAGGTCCAGAAAACATGCCAAAATATATATTTAAAAAAAAAACTTTTAAACTGTTTCTTACACGTTCCGTTTTAGAGACTACAAAAATCTTGTTCGTTCGTCATGTGGTTATTAATAATTATTTTTATCAAGAGTTGATTTTGGTATATCGAATACTATAATATGTATACATTTCTGAATTCTCTATGAAATTTCCTATAAACGAGTACATATATTTAATAAAGTTTAAAAGTAATTAATATAACTAAATATTGAATAAAGTCAAAACTATCATATTTCTCAATGACACAAAGTTTTTTAATAGTTCAATTTTATTTTATTTTAATATTACATCTATTGTTTACAATATTTTATGTGCAAAATCATAGGCTACAATACAATTTTTTATCATAAAACGCATTAATAATAAGCTTACAAGAACTCACAATCAACTTACACCGATGTAGAATGTAGTTCGGACCAGATGCGGCATAATGCTTTAGTCAATAAAAATAGTTTTTTTTTATTTCATTATAATGATTCAGTCTTGAACCTCTCTTTTTCTTTACATGATTCAGTCATCTTTCAATAGGTCTTGCTAAGTTTTAGAAATCTCATAAAGTATTTCATAAGTACTCTTAATGCCGATATCAAAATTATAGTCGTAAGTGCCATATTTATTAAAAAATTAATAACTTTATTTGAGCAAACAAACTTTACCAGCACTTGTACAGAAATAAAGATTCATTAATTCCTTTAAAAACCATAAAACCGCTCAAGGGTCACTCCCACTGATGAAGAGTTATAAATAACGTTTTTTGTAAACAATACCCAATGCACCATAATATGTGTCAAGTGACAGAGGCGCCGCGAGGTGCGCAGCGGTTATGTTACATTTCCAATAACCAACAACATTATTTCTCCAAAATGTAACATATTTTCTTTAACAAAAATAATAGCTACGAAATAATAAAATTTAAAATAAATATATCTCTTCCTGAAATAAAAAAAAATATTATTTATGTATATTTTTAAAGAACCCACTTCTTATGCATTATACAAAAATATGCCACAATTAAAGTCCGATTCTGCACTTTTTTGTGCATCATGTACTAGGTCATTAAAACATTTTTTATACGTGGTAGAGCCATGCTGCAGTTATATTAGTAGTATAGTTGTAGCACGAATGGGCCGGCTCGACCGGGGAAGGACCACGCTGTCACCGAATACCAGCGTGAAATAATAGCTTAATGCTTCTGTGTTTCGTATGGTGAGTGTAAAGAACCGGAGAACCTTTTTACTGGAAACGAGGCGTTCCATCTTAGTCCTTACGGGTGACAACGCATCTGCATTTTGATTTGTAATCGAGGACAGATGTAGATGTCTATGGGCCGCAGCAACCACCACAGGTGGACTGCGTGCTCGTTTGTCACCCTATCCTATAGAAAAAAAAACATACAAAATAAAGAGGTGTATTCATTTCAACGATGAGAGCCGTGGTGGCTCAGAAGAGCCGTGGTAGCTCAGATGGTTAGATCTCGCTGTAAATTTCACAGTACGCCAGCAAGCCGGGTTCGATCCCCGCTAGCAATAATGAAATTGTTAATTGCAATTTTAAGT